ATATTATTTTATTTTAAACTAACGAAAAATTGTATGAATAAAATGATCGTTGAAAAATGTTTTTTTTATTATGTGAAATCTGTTATATTTTTATATATCAATGATTTCCAAAATTACACCCTGGGGAGTCGCAGCTTTCTCACAGGATGGGACCCGAGAAATATTAGAAAATTTTTCATAATTATATTTCTTCATTTACAGTTAGTATAAACTGTTTGTAAAAGCTACTAAAAGTAAAATGTGTTTTATTTATTTTTAGTTAATTATTTACTAACAAAAAAATGTTAATTTTTTGTGTGCGTGTAAGATGAACTTGTTTAAATTTTGATATTTGGTGGTGTTTTGAAAAAAAGAAAACCTGAATTTAGCAAAAGAACAGATAAAAGTTTGGAAATCACTGATTATATTTTAGATCATTTTATTTGGCAAGATAAATGTCGGCATTAATTGAATTTTATTAAATTAATTCACGATTGTGAAAATCAATATTTTTGTTTGTTGCATTATATATACAGGATGTTTCCAAATATGTGGGTACATGATTATGTGTGTGAACTTTTTTTTTTTTCTTATTTTATTATATTGAAATTGTTCCTCAAGTTATGCCCATATATTGTGTGAAATTTTTCCTTGTATATATACTTATATATATATATATATATATATTTTTGAATTTATCGAAAGTAACTAGTAAGTCATAGTGTTTTTTTATTATGAATAATTTGAAATATCATTTATATAATATATGTATGTATATGCATGGATATGGATATGTATATTGTCTCCAAGGTGTACATGTATATGTACGAAACAGCCGTTTGTTGTTTATTGACAATATAATATATATGTGGTATATATATATATATATGCACTCTTATATATAATCATTATTATATAAATAAATCTAGCACGCGCATTATACGACGATATCTACTAATTGTAAGTGATAATACGATGTATTTAATTATATATGTATATGTATACATATATAAGAGACGTGTCACATTGAAAAAATATATGTATGTGTTAATTTATGGCAGATAATACGATTTACGTGTGAGTGTGTTGGTTGTAAGTACATGGATATGTGCGAATTCTCATTTGCAACGACAAAATTTCGACCAAACAATTTTTTTATTATCTCATTTCGCGTCGTTGACTTGAAAACACACTTAATTCTTTTTGTTTATTTGTTTATTTGTTTATTTGTTTATTCAACGCATAGAATTTTTTCCTTTCAGATTTCATACTTGTCGATTAGATTTTCTCGTCTTTTTTTCTTTTGCTTTTTCATATTTTATACAGTTGCGCCTACTAACACTTCCGTATCGTTTGTATTTTTTATTTTTTTTTTCATTCAAGCGGAAATGGGTTTGTTTTTTCTTTCTTTGTAATTATTTTTCTTTTCTTTTCGGCTTCTATTATTTTCCCCTATCTTTTTTATTTTTTTTATATTTTTTTTTTTTGGAATCAAATTTCGAATGAAATTCACAAAGTTACATGTGTACACGTATATATGTATAAAAGTATTCGAGAGAACACTCGTGATAATTTAAAAACGATCGAATTTCAGCCGGTCCAGATCGTTAAGAAAATGATTGATAAAAAAAAAATTAAAAAAAAAAAAAAATAATCAAATAAAAAGAATGAATAGTCAGCACATATATACAGAGCAATAATTTTGTGTTCTCTCTCGGTCTTATAAACCAAAAAATTGGCTCATTCAATTCGTTTGAGACGAGTTTCATGTGAGATTTACTCTTTCAATACATATTACGACGAATATTTTTATTTCTTATTTTGCACATTACGTATTCATTTTGCAATAAAAAAAAAAAAAACAAAGGAATCAGCACAAATCCGAACGTTTTTTACCAAGTATTTTCTCTCTCTCTCTCTCTCTCTCTATTTTTCTCTCTATTTTTTCCCTTTTTTTGGGGGGCTTTTTTAAATTAAGGTATCGTATATACATTTTTGTCGCTTTCAACCTTTATTTTTTTTTTTTTTTTTTTAAGAGAATCCCACACTTAAATGTATCTCGCCAATTGGCCAAGAGAGTGAAGGGAGCGATATATAATATATAATATATAATATATATAATATTGTATATATATAAAGTTTATATTAATAAATGTGGAATATATATAGGAACGATCTAATAACACAGTTACGAATGGATTAACCTAAGATTTTCTTGATTATATATATATATATATATATACATATATAATATGTGTATATAACGTTTGTGTTCAACCAAAAATCATTAACTAAACTTGTGACCCAAAATGACATACATTGCTTATTAATTAGATTATTCTTCTTTTTTTTTTTTTTTTAGATTCAATAGCAATTACATCATAAAAAGCATCAATAGTAGTGTGTGAAAGCATTAACAAGAAGCATACATTAATTTCCACAAATCTAATTTTTTTTTTTTATTAAAAATTTATTTTAACGAGCACAAAATGAGATTAACAGTAAATGATAGTTAATGATTTTTGTCTAAACATAAACATTATATATATATATATATATTACGTGGTAAACTTAATTCCTGCCATTCATTACTAGAGATTAAAGTTTCCAACGTTGGCAAATTTGAACGGTAAGGTCGCATGTCTTTTACAGCTTAAATGATACTGAAAGGGATTTAGACTTCACAGGTTAGATATTTTGATGCCAAAGAGATTTATAAATCGATTTAAAATGAACCGCTTATATAAGCTGTTCATGTGACATGTTCTCTTCTTCATTTCATACTCTTCGACATTTCAGAAAACTACAGATAAAATTATACGTTTATTACTCTAATCACATAAGTGTATGTGATAAAATTATGTTGAAAATAACATGTAGAATTTTGTATTTTGTTTTTTTTTTCAAAATGATTATTTTAATCTGACAATAAAACCAAAGAAAATTCCGAATAGTTGAGAAAATTTGAATTTGAAGATTTTTAGTTGCAAAAATTGTTCGATGAAAATTTAGTTCAAACGTTTTTAAAATTGTCGAAAATGTTGAATGTTACTTTAAAGGTTATTTTAACATTTTTAATTATTATTTTATAATAATTTATAAAAATAAAATATATTAATTTTAAATAATTATTTTTGAAACAAAAATTTTATAAGAAAAGGAAATAGTTATCACATATGAAAGATAAGGAAAAATTGTAAGAATTGAGTTTAACACCTAATATATATATATATATATATATATATATATATATGTATATATACGTATCTATATATGTATATACTTATATATATTCTTTATACGAATATCGACGCGACATTTTTAAGTTCTTTCATTGGACCTCGGATACAATTTAATACTTTTTTTCATTTCGTATTTCGATTTTTAGTCTGATCTTCCTCTTGAATAATAATTTCGATCTTTTTTTTTCTTTTTTCTTCTTTTTTCGTTTTCCTTTTATATATACGATAACGTTCGTCGTCGAACGACGCGAGGCATTCGAAAATAATAATTAATGAACGATTTTTAAGATTATTAAAAGGAAAATATAACAAAACAAAAAAAAAAGAAAAAAAAATGATGAAAATGAAATTCAAGGATAAAGTAAGAAAAAAAAAAATTGATATTACTATATATTATTATTTTGTTGAAAAAAAATATTTCACAATGAAATGATTTTCATTAACGTAAGAGTAGTTTATACAAAACTAAGACACGATAGAAAATTTCTTTTGTTTATATTTTATCACATTAATTTTCAAAATCAATAGAAAAGGAAAAAATATGAAGAAAAAAAAATCAAAAATATCTAATCTTTTGCAAATTAATTTACTTTTCGAATATTAATTATACTACTAATGAAATCAATCCGTGTTTTGGCCCAGAGAGATCAAGGAAACTAATACTACGATGAAGACATGTCTCTTTTTTTCTTTCTTTTTCTTTTTCTTTCTGTATTCTCCTTTTACATAAACATTATATATATATATATATATATACAGGGTGAGTTAGAATTAATCAGATACATGAATATCTTCGTTGGATTTAAAATCACAAAATCTACATCAGAATTGAAATGGTTCGCAATGTTTTTTCATGTAATAATTATTTAAAAAATTTTTTTTTAAGTCACTAACGTTTTTTTTTTTTTAAATGGAATTGCATTCTATTTTTTTTATATACAGAATTATAACTGACACTTTAACAATGTACCACAAAATGTAATTATTTAATAATTTACATTGTAACTTTAAATTCAACAATGATATTCACGTATCTGATTAATTCTGATTCAACCTGTATATATATACAGGTTGTCAAATATTTTTCTATATAAACTTTGTGAGCGAATTCTATGCATAAAAGTAAGAAAAAAAAAATGTGTTATATATATATATATATATATATATATATATATGTTATTTAAAGCATATTAAAAAGTTGTATAATATAAATTTTGTATAATTTAAAGCTGTATAATATAAATTGTAAAATTGTTTAAATATGTTATTAAAAAAAAAAATGATATTTAGCGATTTGATTTAGATTGTTTATTATATTCAAGTGATTCAATTTTATTTTTATCTGAACAATAATTCAGTAGTAGAAGTTTATGCAACTGAGATAGTTACGCTTGATTTTATGATGAAACGAATTAAACATGCAATTGTAGAAATTTAATGAAAAATATAAAAAAAGGATTCATCATGTTATAAACAACATATTACAATCAAACTTATGGTCACGTAGACGAGAAATATTTTAAACAGCACATTTACACACTTTTACCATTTATATTATAAATATTGAATAAAGCTTTAAATGACATATATTTATATAAAATTGTTTGTTCTTCATATTTTTGTACATAAAATAAGCTTTCAACGTATGTACAGAAAAACCTTTGACAACCTGTATATAGTATGTATACGTGTATGCATATAAGTTAGGAGCTAGGTAGATTAACGCTAGTTAGCACACTTATAATGACGGTTTTATTCTAAGGTCGTGTTTTTTTTTCATTTTTTTTTGGCATTTTTTTTTTTTCGTTACATATAATTTACAGATTAAATGTTACCGTATATTAATAGTTTTTCTTCATCTTGATCTTCGTCTTGTCTTCATCTTCATTTATTTTAACAAGATTTCAAGGGGTTCTTCGAACAAATGGTATTCATTCGTAATGGTTATCGTCGAATAATACGTTCCTTATTATTATTATTATTATTATTATTATTTTTATTTAGTTCTAACCCCAATTTTATAAATTACTCTTGTTCGTTTCTTTATTTTCCTTGATCTCCCTCATAAACACGTTTGATTCATCACTTATGAATAATACTGAATCTACTCGCAAAGGGTCCTATTTATTTTCTCAAACTCCGGCATATATATATATGTATATCGATTTTCTTCGATAAAATGTTTAATCGAGAAAAATTACCGGATTAGTGTGTCTACTTTTTCTTTCTTTCTTTCTTTCTTTCTTTTTGAATTTTTATTTTTTGTTTTTTTTTTATTTTTTGTTTTTTCTTAATAATTTTATCCCGACAATCATCACATTCAATGATCCTCGTGTGAATGTTTCATTTTTCTCTTTCATTCGAAGAAACGAGAAAAGAAATATAGAACGAGGAACATTGAGAAAAAAAAGGTATATTTGTGAGTATGTGTGTATGTGTGCATGTGCATGCGTGCGTGTGTGTGTGTGTATGTGCATCGTTGATAACAGTCTTTTACAGTGGCACGATCTTCTCGTTTCGATGCATTGGTGTGTCGTAAGCAGGCACGCACTTATAATATTGCGGTGGATAGGAATAGCTTGCATCTGATGGCGATAGTCGACCACGAAAACGGCTACGAACGATGTGGATAATCAACAGAAGACAAAGTAACGCCAGGACGACGATCAACGTGATCGGTACCACTCCCCAGCCTCTGTTATTCTGATGATTCCCTTCATTTTCCTTCAAAATTCAAAAATGTATTTATAAATTGATATTAATAACAATATGTATATATACACGTGTAAATATGAATGTATATATGTTAAAATTAACGTTGATATAACGAGAATTTTATAGAATGCCCAGAAGGTTTTGGTCAATTTATAAAATGCCTTTTATTGGGCTGTGTTTAGAAATTAAGGATATGGGGATGAGTTGAAGTGATTTGTAAGCTATTGTAAGTGAAACAAACCATGGAAGTTTAAAGATATGTACACAATGCTTTTTTTTTTTTTGAACAATTTTTGGTCAATCTATAAAATTTGCTTTAGTGGGGTGTATTTAAAGTATAAGAGAGTGGGTTGGGGGAGGGGGAAATATTTGAAGTTATTATTTAAACAGTTTAATGGATGTACATTTTATATAGATTAAACAAAATACATTCTTGTATACATATGTGTTTAATTGACAATAAAGAAAAATCCAATCGATTAACTTACCGTGATTGGACAAACTGGGCAGCACGTGTTTGGTTCTGGGGGTAAAGGATCGCTACAGGCCACCGAACAAACGGTTTCCTTGCAATTTACTCTCCCGCCTATTTCGCACGTGCAAGTTGTGCAAGCGTTTCGTAGCCAGCTTTCACCTTCCTGTATTGGTTCATTCTCATCGTTGATGCAACTCGCCCGACACCGACATATCTGAAAATTAAGAGAAATGAACGATTTTACTCTTTTTTTTTTTTTTTCTTTTCTTTTATATGCCAACTATATTTTTAAATTAAGAAAAATAATTTAATAAAAATAAATGTTCGTAATAAAAATATTAATTTTATAAGAAAAAAAAAAAAAAGCATTTATTTTTCATTACATACTAACAAACAACTAAACGAGTAAGGAATCAAAAAAGAAATAATTAATAATAAATAAAATTGTTTAAATTAATTTTTATGATTTTTAAATAAACCTTTTTTTTTCTTTTTTCTATAACATTTTTCATTCTAATAAAAGAAAACAACACAAAAACCCCCCTAAAGTATACGAAAAATAAAAGAAAAAAATCGTTACCGGACAGCCACGTTTGTTGGTTTTGTAACCAAATCTACATTTCTTTTTACATCCAACGAATGAAGGACAATTCTCGTGAAGTGGTTTGCATTCGCATAAAGTACAATCGTTCTCATCCATCATGAGACCACGTTCGCAATGAAGATCACAGTTTACTTCGGGACAGACAACTTTCTTATCGTCGTTATTATCGAAATTGTCGATATTTGGATGGTTCCATGTTCGATTCGTTGATGGGAAACTCAAGTTTTGTTGATTTCGTGAAGGAGTCAGTGGTGTTGACGTTGACGATAAATTTGATATCGATTGACAGGCACAAATCGAACATCCAAACTCGTCTTTTACGAGATCGCAATTAAGTTCGCAGTTTGATAATTCTGGACAGAGTTTGTCCTCCTCCGATCCTGGGTGAATCATTTCGTTCTGAAAAAGACAATTTTCGTTTCATTTTTATGAAATAATAAAACAAAGTTATTGTTTATGAATATAAATATTAATATTAGAATAATGATGATAGAATAAATTATTATTATTATATTTTTGTTAATTGTTTTTTTTTATAATATTTATTTTAAAAAGAAATTATGCGGAATTTCTAAAATTTCGTTTCAATTAAATTAATCATAATACTTTTATATTTTGACAGAACTGTATCTGTATTTTGTTGAATCAAACGTTACAAAATTATTCATTCTATCGTCAAACCCGTGTAAAAATAAATATATTTGTAAAAATATAAAATAATAATATATAAATTATGTATTTTTCAATGAATATTAATTTATATATTAAAATATATTTAAGATATAAAAACAATGTAAATTACATATTTATTTAATATATATATATGCATATAAATGCAATATAATTTTATTATAAATAATATATAATGTATATCTTATTTCAAAAAAAAAAAAAATAATATATATATTTTATATATTTAAAAAAAATATATTTATATCTACACTGAAAGCGCAAACAGATGAAATGTGATTTTGTCATGCAGATATGGAGAGTAAATTTTTACTGTCAATCGTGACGAATATTGAATGGTGGACTAGCTTTTCCAATTCTCCTTTTTTGTGCATTTTTTTTTTTTTCTTTTTTTCTTTCAACGTTTCGTGTGCGTTAGTTATAAAATACGATTTGTTGATCATTTTTCATTTCAGAAAATTAAACAAGATGTGAAGTATATTTTGATATTAAATAAATTCGTCCAAATATTTGTATTTCGTGATATAACATCAATTTCAATAATAAAATTATCATTTTTCATTTATCATATGATATTTTTTTGTCTCTCTGATACAAATTATAAAGACGATAATATTTTGATATTTATAGAAAAAAAAAAAAAAAAAATAATTTTTGAAACTTATTCATATTAATATATTAAATCGTCTAAATGAAAAAAATTCACACGTATTTTTAAATACAATTATATTCTCGAGAATAGAACAAATTAAGTATGATACTTTTTCCTTAATGGAATTCGTAATTAATGCATTGATAAATAAAAAGTTTATCTCGTTAAACTGTTTCAAACTAACGAAAAGTTTTTTATGCGTTATTTTCACGATTTTGTCGAGTTGATTCTAATTTTAAATACCACACGCGGTGAAATAATAATAAAAGAATAGAAAATTATTTGAATTTAAAATTAACATTATACGCTTAAACGAAAAAACACCTTTAAAATTTATTTGAATATTCAATAAATAAAACCAAAAAAAAAAAAACATGTGAAAATGAAAAATAACTGACCTTTGTTGGTTTATAACATTCACAAATCTGACAGCCATTCTCGTCGGTTAAGTAACGATTGCAATCGAGGTTACAATCAATCAAAGAGGTTTTGCAATTCGATTTGCTGCTATCGATATCAACATCAGTTAGACTAGTTGGTTGTGGACAGTGAGAACAACATTCGCCTGGATCTGGTGGTATCGGGTTTGCACAAGATTTGCACATGATTCCTATACAAGACACTTGACCATTCTCTTGGCACGTGCAATTTACGCAGGGTTCGTCTTTCCAATGTTCTCCAACTCGTCGGAATAATCCATTTTTGAAGAAACAATTCCTGGTATTACCACTTTCTTCCGTTTCAACCAAGTATACGGATTCTGTAAGATTTGTTTTTTTTATTGATTTATTAAATTTTGTAATTGAAAGTACCAAAAAAAAATGAATGAAAACTTTATAGAAAAGGAACTTGTGAATCCTACGAACAAAAATGAAAAAAAAAAAAAAAAAACAANAAAAAAAAAAAAAAAAAACAAAGATTCAAGTTACAATTATCAATTTATTTTTATTACATTTATCAATTTAACGATTACTTGAAAGAAAAAAAGAAAAAGAAACAAAACATTTAATTTATTTATTATTATTATTTATAATTTATTTAGTTTGATGATATAAATTATATAATTTGTCTTAATTCTTATTATTACAAATTCGATAATTGCGAAAGAAGAAATTGAATAATCTTTTCAATTCAATTTTGTTTAAAAATGTAATATATTAATCATCGGTTACATACATTATAATACACGTATAAAAATGATTAATAAAATAAGATATTAAAATTCATCTGCCGGTAAAAGGGTTTGGCTTTAGTTAAAAAGTGTTTAATGAGAGATGGGAAAACAGGGTTAAAGTTTGATGCACTTTAAAATAATATGATTATAGGGAAGGGTGATATGAAATTATCACTTTATGTAACTAGTATTAACGTATTACCACTTGTACTAAGAGCATTACCAAGTGTCAATATTTGCCTATTACTCTAGAACCATAATTAAAAGGTAATCGATTAAAAGGGAACATCGATGTCGTCGTTACTCGTGGATTAGAGAACGATTTACAGAAGGTTGTTAAGTTTCATCTACGATCAAGTACTTTTCCTACGAATTTTGGATCTTCAATGCAATCTTGTATAATCATTACGATTAGATTTAAATGATTATGAAATTTTGAAGTGAATATGCCTAATGTCATTAAGAAGAAGAAGAAGAAGAGGGTGGGGGGTTGGAGGTGGATAGGAGATAAGTGTAAGCTTATTAAAATTCAACAGGTAGTATGGAAGTTTCTAAGAAAGAAAAAAGAAGAAAGAAAATGGGTGATTCACATTTAAATTGTTAATTTCAAAATCTTTTCTCGTAAATACTTATTTTCATTGTAGTTCCATTAGTCTAAACATCACACTCATCCTAATCGCTTCTTTCTCCTTTTTCTATCTCTGTTTGTATTTTTTCTCTTTTTTTTTTGTTTTTTTTTTTTTGTTTTTTTTTTGTTCTTTCAATCGATTCGAGGACGTACACGTTTTCCTATCTCACTGGAGGATGTATCGAGTAAAAAGAAATGGAAATAGTGTGGTCTCAGTGCTATCACGAAGAAACACTTAGAATCGTGTGTCTCTAAGGGTAGAAAGTTGTTGCTTGGTGTTGATTGTACATGTGTAGTGGAGTGAAAGTAAAGGGCAAAGGGATGACAAAGAGAGAGAGAGATAGAGAGAGAGAGAGAGGAAGTGTGGACGACGATTGGAATTGTGATTGGGAGAGGGAGAAAATGGAGATTCGAGATATCGACCCGATATTGTACGTGTATATAGGGTGAACCACGTAATTCGACCAACCTGATTTTATTATAGAATTCTTTTCTTGTCCTATGTAACAATTTTAAATTCGATTTATCTCTTGTAAAAAAATTATTTCATCAAAAACATCTTTATTTTCAATCTATCTATTAAAAAATAAGATATTTTTTTTGTAATAATAATTATCCATATTTTTGTCAATAGGATTGCAACGATAAATCGATTTTTAATGTTTTTCTATTTTCGTTGTATTATATTTTCATGTTTAACACGTTCCGTGGCAAGCCCTTTTTGTTTGATTTGTCTTTCAGGCCATTTGATTTTCAACGTATTAAATAAATTTGTGTAATAAGTGTACCACCGGTGGTACATGTGGCACAAAACGTGTTAACCGGTAATAAGTAAAGAATTGAGTTTTTAGATTTGTTATTTTATTACCTGATGGTACACACTTGTAGAGAGGACAACAAAAACCAGGTGTATTAGGAACGGCTTGTCTAACTTCTACAGCACGTTCACCTGGTTTACAAGACGCAGGTGGACACATGGGTACGCATTTACATACATCATCTTCGCTTGGAACACTGTCCCTTGGACAACCGTTTTCTGAACTTTGTTGCTGATCTTGTCCTTCTTGATGTCCATTTTGTTGATGTCCTGTGATCAGAAATAATGAACACTTTATATAACTTTTAAAGTTATATTATTATTATTATTATTATTTATAGCAGGATCTTATTATTTAAATAGAGATATGCATATGTAGGGTGTCTTGTAAGTGGAAGTATGTAATTGGTAATAAATTAGCAAGGGGTAATTTTATGAAGATGTAGAATAAAATTATTTTATAAAAGACTTTGTGTTTTTAGAGAAAAATAAGTTTGAAAATTTATCAATAGATTTCACTACCTTTACACAAGAATATTTTTGGAGAATATTTTTGTGCTTCTTAATATATTTATGAATATTATCAGTATCATGATACGTGCCTTCTATCGATTTTACTCTCATGTTTATCTAACAAGGCTTTTAGTTTCTAAGGTTGCAAACTCAGCTAAGTGTACTGTACTCGAAAGATTTTCAAATTTATTTTTCTGAAAAAAAAAAGAAAAGAAAAAAGCCTTTTTTTTCAATGAAAATATATTATTTTATATTTTCTACTTAGTATTTCACGTAGAATCATACTAGTATGTATTACTACGAATTACAGGAAATCCTGTAGAACAAATAATGTTTTATCATATCGTGCTCGTTTTAAATTTAATTTTGTTAAAAATTGTAAATTGACGTAAGATTACGTTATCGATATTACCTACATTAAACATTTGAATATGACTATATATTAATATCATTAATAACGAAATTGTTAATTATTTATATTATGAATGATTAATCTTTTCTTTTGAAATACAATTAGGAGATATCAATTCAATGACTATGTAATTTAGTAATTATCGTAATAATTATAATTATTACATGACTATTATACCTGAGGGAAGACATTCGTAATGAGAACAGCAACTACCGGGTGTCCCAGGAATTGCGATCTTTGTTTGTAAGAGACGTTGTCCAGGTTCGGAACAGACTGGTGGTGAAGGACATGGAGAGCATTTACACTCGCCATTTTCATTTTCCACGCTGTCCTCGGGACATCTCGTACCGTGCAAAAGTTCTAGAAAAAGACAACAAAAGCTTTAGTATGTGACTGAGAAGTATGTGTTCTTTTTCTTTTTTCTTTTTTTTTTTTCCTTTTATATTTTATTCTTTACAATAAGAAATATCGTTGGATGAAACTGTAACCCGTAATATAACTCGTTGAAAATATTTGTGCTGACGAAATGAGAATATATTTTTCTTGTACAATTTTCTGTACTTTCCAATGTATGTTTATTGTTTTTAAAGTGAAATTATAAAAAAAAAACTTACGCCTGTATGAATGCAACCCTCTAAACACACTTGGAAAATGTTACTTGGGAACGTCATCTGTCGGGACGGAATTTTTTTCTGCCCGAAAGATAGGCAATCCGTCATACATACGTGTATAAATAGTTTTGACTGTAAAAAAAAATTCCGTCCCAGTAGATGGTACTCGCAAGCAACATTTTCAAAGTGTGTCAGGAGGGTTGCATACAAACAGGCGCGCATTTTTATAATTAAATTGATAATTAAATAATTAATTACAAAGTAAAAGTACACATAATATTATAATAATATTATATAATAAATTATATCCTCAAAATTTGTTTATTTAAAGGTTTCACTTGTGACTTGTGTGATGTGCACACATGTTTTTTATTTTTTTTTATTTTCTTTCTTTTCTTTTTTTTTTTTTAAAAAGTTCGAATACGTTCGATTGAACGTATGGTCGAGTTTCGTGCAACATCGTATGGTCAATTAAATTATGTGTGCGATTAATTTAAGACATTTCGATAATCAAAACGAAAAAAGAAAAAGAAAAAAATGGAGATGAAGAAGAGTATGATTCATTCATTGCGTTAATGTTCAGACTGAAAAAAAATGATATCCGATAAATCGATAGGAAACTCATACGTTTGGTTATAATTTCAATTTGAAAAAAGAAAATGAACGTGCTTGGTGCACGATACAAGTGAAACTCGTATTATCGTGTGGAAAATAATCAATCGATTTACATACAGTGTATCTTTAAAATCGTATATGTTGGTTATTACTTTAATAACAGGGAAAATATACCAGGTTTTTTTTTTTTTTTTATATTGAACTTATATTCCGTGCTTGAGTTTTTTATGCAGAATTTAATACTTTATCAGAATCTAGAAAAAAAAAACAAATTAGTTATTCCATTTAAAATAAATAATTAAAAATATATAGTATGCATTTATTTTAAAATTATTTCCATGCTAAACACATTATATTAATAGTTTTCAATTAAAAAAATGTAGTAAATGTAATGATGTACAATTTTAATCTACACTAACCGAGTGTATATATGAATCAATTAATTATTTTTCACATGATAATACGAGGTTTTACTTTTATCGTGCGTAAAGTTGCACTATTATACTTTTTTCTTTTTTTTTCTCTTTTTTTTTTTTTTTAAGAATACAAGAGAATTCGATGCAAAATTTTATACAATTAAAAAATTTGAGTATCCTCGAGTTGAGCTTTTTTTTATCTTGTTCGTTGCAAATCGTAATTTCGTATAGTTATGTTTGACTTTAACAATAAGAGTTGCTTGTTTGTTTATTTATATACGTTTAAGAAAGAGAAAGAGAAATAGAAAGAGAGAAAGAGAGAGAGAGAGAGAGAGAGAGAGAGAGAAAGGTAGAGATAGAAGTAACATTTATTAAAAGGTCGTAGAGAAGAGCGTGCGGCATTTGCGTTATACGCTTGGAATCTTCTTATTGCAAAACTGTACCGAAGGTAAGCGAAACATTTTGTAAATGTAGAATACGATATAATTCTAAGTCTGAAATCCTTTGCGTACCTTTCTCTGGGATAGTTTCACTTAGACTATGCAAAATTAAGCACATCAAAATACATATAGGATTACAATTCTCAAATATTATACAAGATGAGTATTGTCAATAATTAATAAAAAAATTATATTTATTTATTTAATCAAATTTTTATTTGTCATTCTTATCGAATGACAAAATTCATTGAGATCGTGTAAAAAAAAGAAAAAAAGAAAAAATATCGAATTTGATTAATATAATTTTGATTAAATTCGAATTTTGTGTATTACAAAATGGTATACATCGTTGAAAATTGTCAACCATTTATCAATCATCTGTGTAAAAAGGGTTTAAAGTATTTGTTGATAGACAACGTAATCGTATATGGGAACTTAGAAAGTTGCTTATCGTATTAGTTTGTTAAATTTGAATCTGTAGTTTTGATAATACTGTATTGTCAATAGTTTAATAAAAAAAAAAAACAGGATGAAACATATTCTAACGAAAGGAGTTTTTTGTATATACGACAGAAAAAGAATTCGACGAAATAATCTTTCAGAAACATTTTATCGATAACTATTATATATTCCTTATAAAATTGAAATCATTATTTCAAGATTTCCAAGGATTTTATAATAACTTATGAATTCTTAAAATAGTGATCCTACTTTTTCTTTTATTATAAATTCACCGAAGTGAATTCTTTTCTTCGAAAAGAAAGAAAAAAAAAAAAAAAAAAAGAAGGAAAGATAGAATTTTCCATAAGTACTTTCGTTGAATAAGTATGTAAGATTTAATCAATTTTCATAAAACTTTATAGAGACATATTTTCATTGAAATTAAACCAATCAATAAAGTGAATCAAATAAAAGTTTGATCATTAAGATTTGACTATTTTTATACGTGTAATTATTTTCAACGTATATGTATTTATAAAACTTTTTTTTTTTATTAAAGATAGAAAAAATATTATACATCAACAATAAATTAGGTATACATATTTCATGATTACAAAAATGTATTTATAATTATATAAAATAATATACACACACAGATATATATATATATATATATATATGTAATAGACATATTTATATGTTTTCTGTATTGAACAAAAATATTAACAATAGGAATACGTGATCATAAAATTCGCAGAAATAATTCGATCGGAAGCATCCAACGTTAATCTCTCGAGTTTCCAGACATTCGGCTAACGCTCTTACAAATTGCTCGAGACAGGTTACACGTGCTCGGTGGGTCGTTTCGTAGCTCGGTGAAAATTAAATCGCGAAAGAATGGTCGTATCGGCGCCATCGTATTCGGAGTGGGCGAAAGGAAGAGAAAGAGAAAGAGAGAAAGATAGAGAGAACGAACGACCAGAGCACGTCCTCTTATCCACGCCTGATATCCTTTTGTACTTGGGTATATACGATCATGCATACCTCTCTCTCTCTCTATATATATATATACTTATATACCCCCCACACACATACACATATAGATATACACACGCGTATCTACGTTCACAGAATTTAATGGAATTGCTTGTTACGCCCGAATGCTTCGATTCGAGGGTTAAAAAGAGAAAGAGAGAGAGAGAGAGAGAGAGAGAGAGCTGTGCTAGTCCGTTTGTCGGAGAAAACTGCACTTTCGTGCTGCAACACAAAAGCACACGATGAGTCTCTTTGTCGCGTTCGAGTAAAATGTTGACGATGGGAAAATCCGTTAGCAAAGTAGATCGCGATCTTTAGATCAGCAGTCAGAGGAGTAAAGAATTTTAACATCTATTTCGAACAAATCTGTCTGATTGCTTACTGTCTGCTCAAAATTTGCTTTTACTACTATTACTGTTTAATACTACTCAATCAATCCTTCCAACTTTCTTTAGAATTGTTCAACGTTCGTAATATGATCTGTTATTATGATAAGATATGAGAATGAACATTTTTATCATTGAAGAATAATGTTAATTGTTTTTAAGATTCGTTTTGAAAAAATGAATATTTTTGTATTCTTCTATCAAAATCTGTTGCGTTAATGATAACAGTGAGATAGAAAGAAAGGAAAGTAACATATGACAAAGGTTCGAGATGATATTCTAGTCAGGTAACGTCAATTGAAAATTTTCTCGATAATCTCGGCACACAGTGGATGCACACGGTAGCAGCATCGGTTCAATATTGTGGCTTTACTTGAAACATTAACGGTAACGTTAACGTTAACGCAACCTACGTACATATACATATATATATAATACTGAAATGAAGCTTGGAAGCTCGTAGAGGTTCGGTAGAGTAGCGTCAAGGCGAATAAAAGCGTTGCATCGTTGGGTAGGTTGGATACGAGAGGACGTTCTGTGCTTTACGAAAGATTGCATTAGTCCTTCTGCCGGACGCAAGCTTGCAAGTCTTGCATACCGAATGAGCTTATTGTTAGCTGCTAGGGCAAAGCCAACTCTTATAAGCCACGACAACGCAGGATTCTGTGTGAATCGGTATTGGTGTACGTTAGTGATGTCATTGGTGTTAGTGGTCCAGAACACAGCATTCCCTTGTCTCATTCTCGTCTCGTTCTTCTCTATTCGTGCACTGCCTTCTCAACTTTCCGCACACTCCTACTCTCACAAACAAACCTTTTCTTCTTTGTTTACCGTCTTTTCCAACGCAACACTCTCAACTTTTTTACCACCCCTATAGTCGTCTCTTTCTCTCTTTACGTCGGCATGCAACCAACGTCGTTGGCAAACTTTACATTCTTTTTTTCTTTATTCTTCCTTTGCTCAGAGAGACTTTCTTCTTTTTTTTTTTGCTGCCTTCCCCCCCCCCTCCACTTTTTTTTCTCTTTCTTTCTTCTCTTTCTCACGGGAGAGATTTTTATCGCGACTTTAAAGAAACACCCTCTGACTAGTTACTGTTCTCTGATGCGGTTACCAGGAAAATCATGGTCTCTTCTTTCTTTTTTGTTTGTTTTACTCGGACGGTATATGTAATAAGGGATTTCAAAAGGATTTTCATGAAACTTTGTATATCTATATATATATATATATATATATATATGTATGACATGGTTCTGTATGAGAATACCATGAAAGTTTCATCTTTGAAAAACACGCTAAACAAGGAAACTCGAAAATATTAGAGAAATTTTATGACTTTATTAAAAAATTGAAAATATGTTGTAAAAGTATTATTTTTTATTTTATTATTACACGTGTAGAGCTATAAAGAAAAAAGAT